ATTAAGCTTCTGGTGGTTGAATCGCAGAAGGATGGTAAACAGATTCCTGTAAAAATTTCTGTGGGCAAATGATTGTGAGCGACGCGAGAGCTTTTCAAAGTACGTGAAAAATTGAAATATTTTACCATCCGTCGTCAAATTTCAATTTACGGGTTAGACGTATATTTTAGCATGCGCCACATGACTTGACCTATATTAAGTTGAAATAGACACAGAGGTGATAATTTCGAAATGTTGTAACCTTATTTGCTGTAAAAGGCGGGTCCAAAGCCGATTTGACGTGTTTCTCTCACCATTCGTAGCACATAAAGCAGAAGTTTGCTTTTGTTTACGTAACGTCTAATGTACATCGCCAAGTGTCAACTTATTTTTTGGTCGAATACCATGAATCTGTGACCCTCTGACATATATGATCACCACAGCATCTAAGTCAAAAAACGGCCAAGTCATTTGTAGAGAGTTGCTTGCTTTGCACTACACTAAAATATTACGTTTGATCATCATGGTTTGATCTATTTCTCCTTGAATCCTTGCTTGCAGCGTTCCTTGTTTGTTCGTCACGCAATGCTGTCATCCCATTTTAGGGGGTAGGGGTAGGACAATTTTTATCCTAATACGTAAGGCTCCGTAAGGCTTGGAACCACTGTGAGCACACAATCTTGTTGAGTAGGAAGAGATTAAATTAAGAAATGAAAAGAATGAGTAGTTTACCACCGCTACCTACGTGCCCTGCGTATAATACTGTAACGATAAACTCGTACCTAGGTCTTTTCGCGCTGTGCAATTATTTTTGGTTTACATACAATACAACGGGCTACCCTCGGGGAAATGGGTGGTGACCGCTTTATAGGGGTTAGCCGCTTAATAAAGGTTGGTGTACCTTGAATATTTTTCACTATCGGGTTATAAATTTCTTGGTGAACATGGAGACAACTGAAGACAATCATGATAGACGTGTGTTTGAATTATTATTCGTTACGTTCAATTTCAGACTCTCATCTGCCATCGCCCTTTCCAAAACAAAGTTTTTAAATTTTGGGTGGCCGCTTAATAGGGGTAAAGAGAATAACTGGTCAATAGGGGTTTTGTTTACAGTATTTCACTGACAATAATTTTGGACTGTACTGACAACAGTCCTCTATTTTCTGTTACAAACATACCACTGCCTCGCCAAAATACGGAAACAAAATACGCCAAAGAAAATGGCATGGCCAGAGTTTGTTTACTCACGTAATTAGTAATTAAATTTAGTCTGTTTTTCTCACGAATTAGACGCGTTGTGATTTCCTATTTTTATTTCAGCTAGATCTTGCTTCATTGATCTGTAATGAGTACAGGCACTAGCTTTATCACCTGTTGTCTGAAACATCAGAATGCACGACAAACGTGATTGGGACCGAGGCCACGTACACTATAGAATACGATTATATAAATATACACATATTATTATATATATGAACAGACAAACAATGAATAAATTGTTTCACTTACCCTGAGAGTGTTCTCCACAAAATAGATCAAAATGTGCAGCATATGCCGTGACAGCATTGCGTGACGAACAAATAACGGCTGTAAGATTTTGCTGCGCCGACACGCTTATCGGCAATGGTCAGCAACCTATCAAACGTAATATTTTGGCGCAGTGCAAAGCAAGCAACTATCTACAAATAACTCAGCCGTTTTAGACTTGATGCAGTGGTGATATCGATCATATGTGCCGAAAGATGATCACAGATTCATGGTATTCGACCAATAATAGGTTGACAGTCGGCGATGTACATCGGAAGTTATGTAAACAAAAGCAAACTTCTCCTTTATGTGCGACAAATGGTGAGAGATCAGCAACAAACACGTCAAATCGGCTTTGGACCCGCCTTTTACAGCAAATAAGGTTACAACATTTCGAAATTATCACCTCTGTGTCTATTTCAACTTAATATAGGTCAAGTCATGTGGCGCATGCTAAAATATACGTCTAACCCGTAAATTGAAATTTGACGACGGATGGTAAAATATTTCAATTTTTCACGTACTTTGAAAAGCTCTCGCGTCGCTCACAATCATTTGCCCACAGAAATTTTTACAGGAATCTGTTTACCATCCTTCTGCGATTCAACCACCAGAAGCTTAATGCAATTGAAGGTTTCGCACATGGTGAAAATTAATACATGTCTTCGAAATTTAATTATTTTGCACCCAAAATGACTACACAACATTCCCTAAAATCAACCCAGTACACATTTAAACATTACACAAAAATATTTGAGTGTTTTAAAGACGGAGGAATGATGCGGTTTTGCATGCGAGGCTCTCAAACTTGTTTAATAAAATGGTGCGTCAAATGATGATTTTAACGGACTTTGGTTATTTACATATTTCTTTGAAATAAATAAAATGTTCTGCCAAAAAAACTATCCAGTAGTTTTGTCATGCCCTAGCCTATCTACCATAAGAATATGAGCGAAATCGAATTTTCGATCCTTGCCGCGAAATTAAGAATTTGTCTGATTTTACAGGCAGGCACTCTTAAAAGATTTCAGTTTTCATTTGTTTTTGTTTTGTTTTGTTTTGTTTTTTTCTCACTTTCATTAATAATTCCTGTTTTATTCTACGGCGACATTCCATAATTATTCGTCAGTGTTTCTTGATGTTCCCATGGCACACATTGTTTTTCTTAATCCGATCACTGCGATTTTCTACCTCGCATTTTGAATTTGGTCCTAATGTGGTTGTTATTTCCGTTACGTTATTGTTGTTTTCAAATTGTTAAGGTCTTTTTTGGGGGGGGTGGGGGAGGGGTTGGTTTGGTTTTGCTTTTGTTTGTTTGCTTCTTTCTTTCTTTCTTTCTTTCTTTCTTTCTTTCTTTCTTTCTTTCTTTCTTTCTTTCTTTCTTTCTTTCTTCCTTCTGTCTGTCTGTCTGTCTGTCTGTCTTTCTTTCTTTGTTTTTTCTTATTTTATGGCTGGTCACACAATCTTTTCTCTCCAAAGTTCGTTGAAAAGGAAAGACTGGCTAACCAGGAGGCCCAACTTAACCGTTTTAGGAGACATCAATACGTTATTTTAAAACTTACGTGTTACTGCAGCGTATCTATATTTCCCAATTCCTTTTCTGGTAAAACCCGCGACAGCAATGAAGTATGTCGATCCTTCCTTCAGGTTGTTTAACGTAATTGTTCTTGTGTTTGTATCCGTCTTCATCGTGTTGTTACTGATATTCGGTTCATTAAGAGAAAAGTATGTGATATTATAGCCCAGTATTCTTCCTTGAGCGTCTTCAGGACGAATATCTTCCCGGGTAAAGCTGATGCTGTGATCACGAACGTTTATATTCCAGTTGTACAAATAAGGTCCTGATCTAGGTACTGAGGAAATAAAAATTCAAAAATAAGTCAGTTAAAGGGAAGGATTCTGAATCTGCTATAAGAATTGTCGCACGAATGCAATCCCTTTCTGTATTTGGTATTACGGTAACCAAACTCCGAAATCCGTATCTACTGTCAGATATTTTGCAATTTCAAGTCGCTGACCTGATGTATATGGCTATGATATCATGGTAAGTCGGCTGAATTTGAGTACGGTAAATACCTAATCGTACTTTTTTATTGGTACGTTTCGGCGGCATATCAGGTTCGTTTGGCCTCGGCATTGCATGGATATTTGGGCTTGACTACGTCTCGCCAAAATACGAATTATGACCAAACTCGCCTGATATTCCGCTAGCTGAAGCGCGATAAAAAGGGACGATTAGATATAAGAGCGAATTTGTAACAGAGAAAGTAAATAACAACACTAATCATAGAAATTGTAATTTCCTCGATTGTGATTTGATTAAAAAACTCCTAAGTTGTTATCGGACAGTTTGTATTGGACGGTTTGTTATTGGACAGTTTGTTATCGGACAGTTCAACAAGCCAATCACATTCAAAGTTGCACTTTAAATCAACCAATCACATTCAAAGTTGTAGTTACGTGCGTGCGCGCGTGCGCTTTTGTATTTTTGGTGCCTAATTGCATGTAGGAGGCGCGATGGCCTTAGAATGTTTACATCTCCTTTATAGTTATTTTAATGCAAATTTTCCCTTTCTTTCATAACTTGGCTATTCTTCTTTTCTCGGAAATTGTAATTTTTATGATTAATTGGTAATAAAACTTCGTGTCGTCAAATTCGGTCTGTAATCATACTCGTGATAAACAAATCGGACTTCCGCTGCGCGGTCGTGCGATTTTGTTATCACTCTTATGATAACCGACCGAATTGGACTCCACTCAGTCCTATCACCATTGCACAGAGCAAAGCACGCTGGTACCTCGCCTTCCTCTTAACTTAATTCTCCGATAGAGGCATTTGAGACGTGCATGAAATGATACATTTTTAAAACGGCTAAGCTTAAACAAGAAATATTAAAAGTAATGGACTGACTTTTCGATGTATCCAGCAACATTGTTAAGATTAAATGTAACCTGCGATCAGGAGTTCTTTTTTTGGGGGGCTGTTACAAAAAGAACGCCTGATCATAGGTTAGAGTGAATGTCCAAGTTGTTGTACAAAGGAACTTTCAATCTTGGATACATCTAACTGTCGATAAACACTACTTCTAATATGTCTTCTTAACGCTTTAACAAGCAGCTGATCGTATCCGAAAGCTTAAATAATACCTGGTCATTTGCGAAATGATAAACTTACCACCTTCATCTGTTTGGACAACTATGGTATCACTTTTATAGACGTCCCCATTGACATCAACCAGGTAAACAAGGACTATGTACTGACTGAATACCGGGAGGTCTGGCACATTGATTGATGTGTTCGAGGAGTCTACTATACGAAGAAACGAACTTGTTCTTTCATCTTTGTAAGATAACTGCGGCCTTGTTTGATTTAAGGACAAAATAAAGAAATCAGCTTGTAAGTCTCCTGGTACGTTGCTCCAGTCAACAAATAAACTCTTTTGGCTGGTGTTGTAACCATGTATATTCCATGCAGTTGAAGGCGAAAGAGCTACAACGTAAAGAAACAAGATCGTAACAGTTTAAAAAGTAGGACAATGACCCTAAAATAAGGCATTTGCTACGAAAAATCCGAGCAAACCTAGACGCTGAGGACTTTGTGTTTACTTGTTTTTGTTGTTATTATAGCTGTTAGAACTCACGTTTTAAAAGTAATATGGAGAACAAGAAAGGACAAGAAAAGCTATTATGACTATTATTCCATTCGAGGTCTCCTAAATTAGCCCGAAATGGCAGTCATCTCCCTATCTCAGCGTTATCCACGGGCCATTGCCCAACGTACCTGTAAACGTTGGTTTGCTGATTAATTTTTTTTTTTTAAAGAAAGACAAAATTAAAAAAAAGGACGTTCGAGGTATACCTGAATGAAGGTTTCTTCTTACTACAACAAATTTAAGCCTCAAACGGCTGTAACGGCTGTACAGTTGGGTGTGTAGAGTAACGAAGTTTCCTTCTCCAAACTGCAATTCTACCACGCCCCGATGATCTTCGTAGCATCGTTCACGAGTGAAGATCTCAGTACCGCTACTTGAAAAAACCTTAAGAAATTCCCTGAAAACAACAACAACAACAACAACAACAAAAGACAAAAGAATTAGAATGTGAAAGGTTCAACGCTTTTCTGGTCCGTTGTCCGTGGCGCGACATTATGAACGCTCAAGAGGGATAAAGAACGAACGTGCGCGCGAGGGCACAAATGTTTCGCTAAAAAGGCAATTTGCCATTTGCGAATAACAAACATAAATATATAAAAACTGGCTATCCCCAAATAGCGAAATGCCTTCGACTAACGTAACCAAAAAGCCAGGGATTTTAAATATATTTTCATTTCAATCTTAAAGAGAATGGCTCGCACTCAACTTGGCTGCTTTATTTCGCTTCAAAACTGAAAGTCGCGGTGCTGGAAACTGGCGATGGTTTTTCATAGATATTCATCCTTAAGTCGGATAAATATGGGAAATTTCATTTCCCCTTGCATGTAGCATAAAGTTTTGCTTTCGGTTGCGCTGGCTGTGTTTGCCAGTAGCTTTGTATACGTTTTGTGTCTTAAGATGAAGGCCTTGCAGAAGGGAATTGGTCTGGCTACACTCGCCAACACAATTGCATTAGCTTACTGAATTTTCAAGGTATATTTTTCAAGGCACAAATTGCATATACGAGAGAAAGAGAGAGACCTAGCAAAGGCTTGTTTGAAGAAGTGAAGAAATAATTTGTCATCGGATTTCAACATTATGGGCACATTATAGAGCTTCATGGATATGCTGATATCGTTAACAATTTTTGCCAATAAGAAAATGTTTTCCTTTTATCCTTTAAATTCACGCATGCCTAGTGTAGAGTAACAAAAATAACAGAAATCGGACAAAAAACCAGGCTTAAAAATGTCGACAACTTGAAAATACAGACGTTTAAAGCAACCTTAAGTCATTAAAACTCACCTCCCACAGTAATTGAAACGGAGTTCTTTTATTGAAAGAAGGAACACTGCATTAGTGATGCCAACACTTCCGATCGTCCAGTTACATTGTAGCTCACTGTAGTCTGATTTGTTAAGGTGGATTGTTTCAAAGGACTGGTTAAAATTACCACCACAACCTTATAAAGCAAAATATAATGCAAAGGAACTTAAAAGCTGTCTGACTAAATCCATATTCATTTTTCAGCAGGGTTTGTAAAGAAATTGCTCCTTATCATAGAGACAAGTCAGAAAGCGATTAAAAAAACCTTTTTAATTTACTTCCTTGTTTAGATTTATTTTGCTTGATGGTCTTGATAGATTTTTGCTTGTATTTTTACACTTTCATCGATTAGCACGAGCTTTTCTTTCGTTCGTGTGCAAGGGCAATTCAATTTTTCCGAGAAGTGAGAACAGCGCCAAGTTGATTCGAAAAACACACTTTGCAAACATGTTTGCCATAGGGGCTTAAGGTGACATGACCATGCAATTGACACACTAAAACGATCCCGGAAAATATTTAGTAAAGCATAACAAAGTTATATCACCAAACCTTGCATGCTTCGTTATGCTCCCATCCCACCCCTAGGCTACATGAGGGATTAACTAAGGACTCATTGCTAACCTTTAAAATGCGTAAAGAAAAGAAACCTTAGTTCGAATTTTATCTTACTTGATTCTCCTATCTCAGACTCTACATTGGCTGGACAAATGATTTTGTTGGACCTTGACAAACTAAGGTCAACGGCTCAACTTGTCTAGTCTACCCGACAATGTTTGCCAGCACTCACCGACTACGAATGAGATCCATGGCGACCGAGGTCCCTCACCCACTGAAGTGAAAGCAGCAACCGCTATTTGATACTTGCTTCCTCCATTCAAACCACGCAGCACCATTTGGAACACGTTTGGGTCCTCAATGGTAACGTTTTCTGCCTTATCTCCATAGTAGTAATTGTAATAGTAATCCTTGTAGTCTCTGTAGTAGACTGTGTAACCTCGTATCTGGCCATTCGTATACTGTGGCTTGACCGCATCCCAAAGAACCAGAAGCTCATTCGGTTGGAGGTTCTTCACGCGCACATTTGTAGGTGGCCCACTGGGAACTTAAAGAAACGATATGTAATGTTGTTTTTATTATTTGTTGTTGTTTTTGTCATGGTATTGATTAATTGTTGCTGTTGTTGCTATTGNGGGGGGGGGACTGTCGTTGTTAAGTTTGGAATCGATTACCGTTGCCATACCGATTGGGCGTCTTAGTAAGGGAACAAGGCTCGGGGATTCACTCATTACCGACTGATGTTTGTTGTTGTCATTGTACTGGTATGTCATAAAGTTTATGTTGGTTGGATACTGTTGCTGGGGAGGAGGAGGCTGTCGTTGTAAAGTTTGGATTCCAAAACAGTTGCCCTACCTATAAAGAAGCAAGCTTGTAATTATTACATAATTATTGCATTGCAGCTGTATGTGCTATTGATATCTTCTTTGCGAAAATTGATTACCCCAATAGCTAAGGGAGCGCTTTCTTCCCTTACCAGGGTACAAGAGTCAGTTTAGACCAACAATGTTCTCATTTTCTAAATCTCGCCGAGCCATGTCACAGCAATTTTTCTATGGCTTCATGTGGTCACCCATTTCCTATATTTAGAGGGCTGACACCCATTATTGCATATTCCCGTCAATACGAAATATTGTAGAGTCAATGGTAAAAGTAAAAGTAGGTTTATACAAAGATAATTACTTCCTTAACTTTGAATTGTTGCCACACGGTACTTACCTCCTTCACCAGTCGTGATATTTTTGATTTCCGTGGAGTAAGTGACATTTTCGACGCCTCCTGTGAACGCAAGTAGCTGGAATTTGTACATTCGGTGTGGCTTTAAAAGCCTGTATACAAAATAGTGTCGATCGTACAAAGACCTGACTTTGAACAGAACAGATAAATTTGTGTTTTCCTCGGTGAACATAACCATAAAGTGAGTTATGGATGCATTGAGAGGAAAATCTGTCCACTCCACGGACACTGACGATGACGTACTGTTGTAAACTGATACACGCCATGATGATAATTCAGTATCTGTCAAAAAAGAATAAATAATAACTTGAATAAGATATTTGAAACGTGAAGCGAACCAGATCAATTATTGCGAGAAAAAAATCTATCTGGGAATCACAAACGCTCCATGATCTACACAGCCACGGTGTTAACCTTCTCAGAGCATGATCATGATAGTGACGACAACGACGACGGCGATGATGATGATGATGATGAAGATGATGATGATAATGGTGATGATGATGCAATTTAGAGCTTGTAACTTTTTGTTTTAGATCATCTGAGTTGCAATGAGCATTTAAACATATCCATACGAAATTTGTGCACGACAAATTCTTCATTATTTTTGTTGTGTTATAGCTTTGTGCTCCCTCTGTAACTCAGCTAACAAACTCGCGGTTCCCTCACCACGTATAGAATGTAGTGCTACTCTTTAGCTATAGAATAGATAGATTTATTGATTTGTTTGATACCTATCAAGGGCTCGTCAAGTCCAAGATACGAGACTGAAAAGCCATTTGAATAGCTGTAGGTGTTCGTATATTGAAGTGCTAACTCTGACTGGTCGCCGTGAACAACAAGAGAAAAAGGTTCTCGGTAATAACCGCATAATAAGGTGTCATTATTGTGCTGGGCGTCTTCTCCAGTCGCCACGCGAAGCCAATTGTTTGATCTGAATGGAAGAGAAAAGTTATCACGGTTACACCCTATAGACTGATCGCAAGGAGAGGCAAGTTTCTACTCCTGCGCTAACATTATTGCTCTTTCAGTAGCTAGTATTCATAGCTGTTCATAACATGCCCAGGCATTTGTTGTTTACTTTGATAGTTGTAATGAGACCAATCTCACCTGCAATAAGGGCCATTGCCATTTATATCAAAGGAATTAAAATCTATCCATATCGCTTTGACAGCGCTTCCGCCAAGTTGCGGCTCAATTGTCCAGCGGCAGTAATGCAATCCGTGAAAGGAACACGGGTAATTAGGGCTGTACAGTGTACCGTTTCTCGCAGTCAACGTACGTTGTGGTTCACAAGCTGAAAAAAAAAAAAAAAATCGTTGCAGCTTCTATTTTATCAGTTGGACACACCATTATCCAAGAGCAAGCGATTTTAACAGGTCATTTTCGGGTTGGCTTCTACTTCTGTGTGAAAACGAATCTTAATGCGAAACCATTCATATGAAAACTTGTTCCACCTAGAGGTTTCTTTTCTTGTAATTCAAACTTATTTTCATATGAAAGGTTTTGCACGCGGACCCGTTTTAAACGGAAGCACAAGATAACTCTGGAAAAGGCCTATTAGTTTGAGCCACGAAAAATTTTCTTTATTATAAACCTCTGCACTTCCTTTCCTGAGGACAATTGTAGTTTAAGGTATCAGTATCCCCCAAACGACCAATCTGTTTTTACACCGAGCTTTACGGTCGGATTGAGTATCAAGGTTTTCGAACGCATGATAGGAGGGAGTTTCCCATTTCTTGGGCTAGCGCTCTAAAGGAAATTCATGCGTTCTAGCACTTAAAACTGCAACTACATAGTTACTTTTCTGACTTTAGGTGCAGTTAAACTAAGCAAATCATGATGCCTACAAATGGCCCCTTACTTGTGAACACACGTTCCCAGTCATATGGTCCAACTCCTTTAGAGGTAAACCCAGCGACCCTTACGTTGTACTTTGTTCCTGGCAGGAGCCCAGTTAAGATGTAACTTCTGGTCGATGCACTGACGTTGACTTGACCGGATAATTTTGGGATTGCATAGCAAGAAGTTTCGTACAAAATGTTATAGCCAAGAAGTTTGCCATTGTGATATTCTTGGGAAACTGGATATATTGAGATGTTGATGCTGTCGACTCCAAGATATTTGTTGTTAACAGACAGGTAAGGACGTCTACTGGGTACTACGATGAAGAGAGAGAGAAAGAAAACACAACAACGTATATAAAATAAAAAAATCATCTTTTAACGGAAGTGGTAGCGAAAAGGGCATTTTAATATTTTCGGCGGCTTTTCGAAAACAAAATTTAATGCCAATTAACAATTAGATTATGAGCTGATTTTCTATGGGGCTATAGTTGATGAGGCCGACGGCCGAAAAAACTATCACCTCATAGAGCGAATAATCTAATTGTTTTAGTAGAATTCTTACTAAAGTTTACATCAAATAATGGTTTCCAATTATTTTTCCACGTATTATTAAACTTTGTGCCTTAAAAATGTCGCTCGGATTGAATTGTCATTTAAAATTGAAGCTGTGTACGCGCGCGCATCATTTTTTTTTTTTTCACTAATTTCAACCTTTTTTAGAGTCAAGAAACCGTAAATGTCCTTCGTTTAGTCTTCTCAGGAATTTAATTATCCATTTGCATCAAAATTTTCCTCCAGAACTTTGGAAAAACGAAAAAAACCTCGCCATTGCCTAGACGACCTCCAGCCACTGCACACTAATGGCTGATAGTATACGATTAGCTCAGCCAATCAGATTGCAGCATTTGCATTAGTATACTAGTAGAATTCTACTAATTTTAATTAGTAGAATTCTACTAGTATACTAATGCAAATGCTGCAATCTGATTGGCTGAGCTAATCGTATACTATCAGCCATTAGAGTGCAGTGGCTGTCGGTCGCCCACAAAATGCGACATTTTTATCGAAGTTTTGGAAGAAAGTTTAGATGTAAATGGATAATTAAATTCCTGATAAGACTAAAAGAAGAACAATAGCGGTTTCTTGACTTTAAAAACTTGAAATTATTGAAAAAACGGTTGTGCGCGCGTAAACAACTTCAAATTTACCAAGGACAATTCAATGCGTGCGATCTTGTTAAAGCGTAAAGTTCAATAATGCGTAGAAAAATAATTAAAAACCGTTATTTGCGTTTATCTCACTTAGAATTCTACTAAAACAATTTGGTTATTCGCTCTCGTTTTTCTCGAGCTCATAATCTAATTGTTAATTTGCATTATAACCTGGTACGGGTGCAAAATGCTATGTGCGAGTCTGGATTCCTTGCAACTAGCTCATAAAACAAAAGATTCATTGTCCGGACAATAACAGTTTTTTGCTTCCTCTTGGTGAATGTTTAACCTGAATTAGCGATGCATGGCGAGGGCATTCTTATGATGGTTGGAACAAATTAGCATTTACTGGCACCCAACAAGCGAATTAACTCGATCTCCCATGTGGTTTTCGGATTCGTCAGCTCACAAGCAGAAGAAGTCAATCTATGTTCACTTTGCCTGCACCTTTCACCCTTATCCTGGTCACAGGCTTTTGCTTATGAGATAGTGGACTTTTTGCCCTCTTCTCTACTGGGTAGGAATTTCTGTAATTTGGAATGGATGGAAATTGTTTTTCAAGCTGCTGTGTGGCTAGCCACATAGTCAGAGTTTATCCAATCAGAAGCTTGTTTGTATTTCGTCGATCACCTTTCCCAGCAAACAAAGCAACCCCAAGCAATAGTGCTCATTGCTGTGAAACTGCTCTTGTAGAGAGACAGCATGACTGAACACAACAATTCATTGGGTACATTTGTTTGTTTACATTTGTTTCATCTTTAAGCAATAGAGCACTTTTCCCGTGTTTACATAGCCTCATCTAAACACGAGGAACGTTGGGAGAATTCGAGACAGTTATGTAAACCTTCGACTACGTCTCGGGTTTGCATATCTTTCAAGACTTCTCCGAGCATCCCCCACCCCTCCCCAGCCCCGTGTTTAGATGACGCTATCTAAACACAGAAAAAGTGCTCTATTGCTTTTATGAAATAATTCTCAAAAATATACGCGAATTTAAAACGTCACAACCGTTTTTACATACTCTCATGTAAACACACTTATCTACCAATGAGAGCGCGCGTAACAGCTCAGTTATTTTATAAAGCTTTACTTTTAACACTCACCACCTTCCTCGGTAAAAAGCAATGCTTCTGAACTCCTGTGTGGTTGTCCTAGTACATCCACGACAACAGCGAAGAGACGATACTCAGTGCCACCTTCAAGTCCGCCTATCGTTATGGACGTGACGTTTGGAAAAACAATGTCCCCTGCTATCTCTTTACCATCAGTAGTTTCCACTATTGCAACATAAGCCCGCACCTGGTTTCCAAGAACATCGGTCAGATTTGGCCATTGAAAGGTAATACTCGATTGTGAAACATTTAGGACGGTGACATTCCATCCATCCACCTGTGGTGCTGTAAATGATGTTAAAAAGTCATTTTAACGCATTAACATTTTAACATCTATATAGCTGGTCAAGTGCAGTGGAACTGATTGTTTGAAGCAAACTAATAAACAGCAATAGTAATAGTTTTGGTAGCCGCTGCGAAAACTTTGCACGGATTTAAAGATCTTGGATGCTCGGCGAGCTCTTTGTCATTTCGAACTATAACCTTGATCTACCCGGTTTGTCTCCCTATCCACATCGCTATGTGACTCGCTATTATCTTAACTGTCCGACATTTGCAAATACCTCCTTGAAAAAACTGATTCAATTGCTTTAACAGAAAATGTCTTTTTACTAACTTATGAAAGTTGTCAACCACGTTACTAATTAAACACAAGCAGCTTGACCAAATAAAATCACATTCCGCTTGTAAAACTATGCACATGCATAGATTTATTACTAAGGCAAATAGACAGAGGTAGTTAAAAAGAAAATTATAAATGTTATGGTCTTGGAGTTGTGAGTTGATGATCATCCGAGAATAGCAAAGTCAAACAATGGATCTTTTCGGCGATACGGCGGCCATTTTGAATTCTATTCTTTCAAATAGCTATAATGGGACGCCCAGGGGGGAAATTAGTGTGCCTTATTTGCCACCTAAGCATCCTATAATAGTTACTTGAAGCAATAGAATTCAAAATGGCCGCGTATCGCTAAAAAGGTCCATTCATGAACAGTTCCTGGAGACATATATAATAGCATCTACAGGAGTAATTTGCTATTCCTTACCTTTGTCAATACTGCCGTTAAGGATGGCATATCGGGCAGTAAAGGTATTATACTTGTCCATCGCTCTAACTTCGACAGAAGCATTCAGGGTTGAAATACTGAGAAACGCCCCTTCATCTGGGCCACAGTATCTGTCCAAAAGCCTCTTACCATAGCCATCCTTAACGTATATACTAAAACTGAAAAAAAGGTACAATTAACTGAAATGGATATTGAACGAATTTCATCTGATTACGTTAAAGGATTTCGCCTATTTAATAGCATTTTAAGTTCGAAGAATGTGCGAGTAGGGCTTGCACTGAGTTCATCTCAATCGTCTTCAATTGGCATTTAGTTGTTAGATCTGCTGCAATTGTATCTCTGGCTTCCTGGCTCAGCTCTTTTAAGGGAGCTGTTAACATGTGTCCATCCGCACAAGGCTGTCAGCATTAGTTAGACTCTACCACAAATGTCAACAAATTTGCCTTCACCAAATTCTGAATTTCATAAAAAGCACCTGCAAACCAGTAAACTCGACCATTTGCTAACTGAAAAATGTCCATCGCAAACGAAATTAGACCCCTTCTGCATTCTCTCGGTGAAACAGTATAACTTAATCGATGTTTTCCTTACTTCAATAGAAGACAAGTCTACCAGTTTTGACTCTCCTTGGCATAAAATAGTGGCTTGCTCCGAATGCTTTTGAAGTTTGTAAGGATAAATAAGAATAACAGTTTTTACTTGTAACATGGAATTGATGATATAGATATATTTGCAAAATAAGCAAAATTTCATCTAGTGCGAAAGAAGCCTAGCTGGGCTTCCAACAATTTGAAAATGATAATTTCACATCACAGTGATATATTTAGTCATTTTTTCAGTAACTGAGAAGTGCGACGAAGACTTAATACATGTACTAAGACCATAGTAACTCCTACTCACGAGATAACCAACACGCTAAATAAAACAAAAAACCCCGAAGCACTGACTCTGTATCTTACCTACAATAATAAACGGGATCAATAGCAAGAATCACGTGATCACCATTTGGTTCATAGACGTCTCCAATGTTCCACTGACACTCGCTCTCAGTTATGCTGTCACCCCTTTGGAAGGAGAGTTCTTCCAGTGGTTCCTTCACAAGACCACCGCATACTGAATAATAAAAAGTTAGTCTAAGTTGGTCATTTGAACTTCCGTTTTTGCATTGATGGAACTAATTCCATTATGAACAAAAATAACATACTAGAGGGGCACCATCATGAGCATAACTTCGAAGAGTCAAACTTGAAAGACGTGTTTTTATTGATGGAAACCTAAACATGGTGATCTATATAAGCGCATTGAAAGGGGAAGGGAGGTTACATGAATGTTAAAGCTATAAAAGGAAGTTACTGATGTATAATGAGTGATGCAAGCACTAGGTTGTGATATCACACTGAAAGAGGTTTGGCAGACTTTATTAAAATTTCGCTGGTGTGCCTTGGAAAAGTCGCTAAAATCTATTGACCTTTCGCAGTCCCTAACCTGGGGTCTGTATGGTAATTTTATCAGCGCACGAGTGAATTAGGGATAGGGTTAGGTTAACTAAGTCATAATTTTAACATTGATTTCAACTAGAAATGAAACAAACTTGCCATATGGTTCCCTTAGCATTTTATTCTACTGTAGTAAAGATTCGATTCGGAAACATGGATCATTTTAGGGAGGGAACACAGGTTATATTTTCCCGTAACTTCACATACCTGCCTTTACAAACGGCCCGCAAGCAATCCCTACATCTTGATAGTGACTGCAGTAAGGATTGTAACCAGTCTTAGAGCAGTTGAGGAGTGACGTCTCGTTTCCTTGACAGTAGTATTCCTGGGTTAAAATAGACCCATTGCCCTCACCAAAAGCAGCTCCATAATACACTTGGGAAAGTTTAGGAAGACCAAGCTGATTACACAATACTTGACCTTGTTGATAACTGAACCATGAGTGGCAGACGGTCCACCAAGAGCCATTGATGTAGATCTCCACCCTTCCTTGACTGGGAGCACCTCCGTCGACTAAACGGGCGTCGCCTAGAAAGAGGGTTAATAATCATGTCGGGTAGCACAACCCATGATCATCGGTCGTTTAAAAGTCGGTTGTATGTATAGTCTCAGCCACGGAACGCGCCATACGATTATTAACAATTGTCAGTTGATTGTTGATGTTATAGTTTAAACCGTCCGTTTTTTTGTTTGTTTGTTTTTGTTTTTATCTTGGTGTTGTTGTTGTTGTTGTTTTTCATATCCGTTCTCGCCTGTTCGTCTGTTCTTCGTTCTTCTATGATGGCATTTGATTCTATTTGTTTGACATAACAAACGCAAAATCTGAAAATATGAAATTATCCATGCCAACTTCTCTGAAATTCAGTTTGCGTGAATATAAAACTAAATTGTAATAAGCTTATAAATTAATTTATCAATACTGTTTCAGGGCCACTTATGTTTGATTTTTAACTGATCGTAAGTACAAGTTGATTTGTAGGGGAAAAAAAAAATTAGACAAAAGCGTATTGTGATGCACTTCTTTTGTTTAGAAAACTGTGTCCGAACAGACCACCTTTTGTTTAATTACTTGTCAAGATAGTTATTGCGGGGTTTGTGGAAAGCAACCAATCAATCAACCACAAAATCAATGACATAGAACAATTGCAGGAACTCGGCGAGAAGCGAACTACTCCTGGCTAGCTGATCGAAGCCAAACCAAAAATCCGTGAAGCCCCCAGCGTGATCAATCAAATAAAATCGAATCGAAATTGTTCCAACAAAATCGATCAAATTTCACCATGAATCACATGTGGTCATTTAGTGTTAAAATATATATATTCTTTGGGCTTCCAAACTGTTTAGTCAAAGACTGTGTGACAACGTTCGACTGTGTGACGACGTTTCCGACGTAATCTTACAATCGGGCGTTACCTTAAGTAAATTTGTACTATAGATAAAAACGCGTCCATTATCGACAGTTCTGACTTAGTTTAAAGAATTGGAAGGCTGTTTGCAGCTTAATTCTGAGGGAAGTGCTACGCGTTCATAGCAGATAAGATATAAACCACAAATATTTGAACAAAAATCCAAATATATATTCTTCTAGTTTAAGTCTATGGTACCATAATTCGGGTCCGCATTCACTGAGACCACTGCCCCTGAAAAATAAAGAAAACATAATGTTTAATGTATAAAACGAGCACTGCTTGAGTTCAGTAATTAATATACATGGCAGAGCAGTATAATGCGAGTTTGATCAGACCTAAATTGTTCACAGTTGGCTCACTCTCGGAGTCCCAGTCAAAAAGAGTCAAAACTGGTAGAAATTACATCGAATGTTTTACAATTTCAGTATAAATTCAATATAAACAGCCATATGGCTGTTCAGGAAATTTGCATTCCCATATGGAGTTTTGGTTCGGTATTGTGGTCATAAAAATGCAACTCCAACCGTGATACGATCTTCACCAGTTGGATCGAACTGAATTCGGAAAATATCAAACATCTGTGATGTTCTAAACAGCAATACAAACTCCTGATCCCATAACGTCAATGAAAAGATTGTTAAAATGAATGGGGTTGAACAAACAGGGTTGTTAGACTCC